TAGTGATGTTGCTCGTTTTGCCACCCACTTGAACAAAGCTTACAACCTTATTTCTTGCAAGACAGGGTCGAACATGGGTGGTAAAACGCGCAACATCGCTATTTCTGCAGCAATGTTGCAAAACAAGTTGCACGTTTTTTGTTGCCCGTCTTACTGCAGCTTTAGTCTTGTTTTGTGTAGTTTCTTTGGTGTTCAAACTTTTGTTTTCATAAAGAATTATGTAGATGTTGGACCACTGTTTCTCGGTCTCATCATTCATTTTGTCCAGGTATGGAGTTTTTTGTAACTGAACTGCACTAGTGTCACTGGAGAAACAAGTGTAGGGTTTGGGGGCGTGCTCCCCCGAAAAAAAAAATAATAAAACATATCCTGCATTCCCTGGATCGAACGCAATTAATTCATACGTCTATTTTGTTGAGCTTTCAGTTCTTAGTCTCGTTATTCATAATTCCCGTGCGCTGTTTTCAAAGCCATTTCAAAGTCAAGCAAATTGCAAGCTATTCCACGAGAATTCACTCCAGCTAATCAGAGTGCTTTTTAACCGTACGATTCAGCTTTGAGTATGCAATTCTGTTAATATTACTTGCACGGCCGTTGTATTTCCAGCAGTTCCAATTAAAATTTTTAAAAACTGAGAGATGTGAGGCTTGTTCACTATCAGTGTTTCTTTCTGTGGCGTTCTTCTAAACAATTGCATGGTCTTCACTTAAGGTAAGAAAGGCTTCGAGAATATCTCTATATGGCGTTAAATCCACACACTGCTATTATCAAATGTGTCAAAGATTTGTGTTGTGAACTTGCTGTGAAACATCACAGCAAATATAGCACTGCTCCAGTCTTGATGCATTCATTGATGCATTCATTCTAGATAGCTCAGAAAATCTGAACACTGAATAATCTGAATCATTTTGGTTTCTTTGAGGAACTGAAGAAACCAGTTCTGCGAGCGCAGTGCCAGCGTAGCATATTAAGGCGTCATAAGTTTAGACTAAGTTTGTTTGACGGTTTGATTTTTTACTCCTGGCATACACAACTGGTAGTGCATCACGCTTTGTACAAAAATTTGCACTTAACATTTTACCGAGTAGTGTTGTCTTTAGGGATGCGAGAAATGTCTCTTATGTTCCACTTAGGATAAAAGTAGAGGTTCTGTGAACTGATGTGAACTATAAGCTTTTTCGTTCTTTTCTCCTTTTTCTCCTCAACTCGGCACTTTCATTTTTGATAATTGTAAAGATGACAATAGAGTCTGAGAGAGATCAATTTATTATTGAAAACAAGAAAAAACCAAAGGTTACGGAGAGAGGGCGACAGCGATGGAAGATGAAAACGCTTTTACTCCAACGCGGTGCAAGTTTCAAATGATAGATGTTCCAAACACGCGTGATCAGATTCTGAGTGACGAGAGAAGATCCAAATGCGAGTGATCAAATTGCTTTCCGTGAATTCCACTGATCCTTACAAGTGGAAGTCCAAACGAATGCCGGCTACATACCTGCGATGCATGCATAATAATAACCTGAAGATTAAAACTGCGGGCTAGTCTTGTCGCCCGCAATAAAGTGGTTAATAACTCCCCGTTGCATAAATCAAAATAATAGGACCTACTCGATCACGCTCTGAAGGTCTCTGTAAGTGTCTCATGTTTTATTTTTGCAGTAGTTTGGCTGAGCAATTAAATTCCCAAAAAGCGCATTTCACTTCAATCAAAGTGTAAAAATGAAACATCTTATCTTTCCAAGGGTGAAAAACGGCATACTGTCTCTCAAACGAGAGAGCAAAAAGACCAGCCATTCCTGTCCGCCATGCAGAATTTCCTTGAGTACCCTGGCCTTTTGTTTCTTCCGTGTGCAGTCTTGTTTGTTCCATCAGGAGGTGTCTCAAAAATATGAATGAAGTGTTTTGAAGTGTCAGGGGGTGCATGTATAATACTGTAATGCTTTAACTCAAATTAATTCCGCCCTTCAGAACTCAACTTGCTTCTACGTGGCTTTCCCTTGTGACAAGAATCACTTACACACTCTTTTAAAATAATTTCAGAAAATCTCTCAGAAAAGAAAGTAACAGGTATTTTATAGGGTTACCTTGCACTACTTTGAAGAAAATGAGAATGCAAAAGATTTTTAGGCCGCTTTCTTCCCGTTTTTGAGTCTTTTTCGGACTAAAACAAAAAGGCTATGACCCCTCCCCCCCAAGGGCACAATGTGCCTCCCCCGTGCATGTTTAAGTGGGGTCCATAGCTAAAAATAATGAGTGCAACTAGTATTATCACTGTGCCGAGTTTGATGCTTTTACCCCAAAGTGCACAATTCAGCTATTTTTTTTTTTACACCGTATGGCTGGACTACAGGGGTTTTCGGGAACAAAAGGAACCTTGTCCAATTACTTTTAGGACGAAACAAGAGGTATCTTGAAATGACCTCTTGGGAAAAGGTTAACGGCTGAGTCTTTCCAGTAGCAGGGAGACATTGATTTTCCAGTTTAAAATAATATCATTTTCGAATAAACTTTTACACTGTACTGTCAGACTTCTAATGTTTGACAGTTTTGCTGCTTCTCTGGTCTATTGCAGTCGGTTGTGACTTGGTTGCGAGTAGACTGGGACCTGAAGTCGTTTTTTCCTTCCTAAGAACTGCTGACTATTTTTTCTTTACGCGTTACTCGGATGCTTTTTCAGGTTCTGCAATAGGTTAGGCCTGCCCCCATTACAACTCTATGTGTTTGAAACTTCGGAAAGCTGACAGCATGGATTTTGGGGAACATGTTAATTAAAATTACTTTTAGAAAACAGTGAATTTCAAAACAGGAACAGTACCGCAAATGAGCCCCGACCACAACACCTCCAAATGGAAAGGATCATAAAACGGACCACAAATTATCCTCGACCCCACATGAACCCCCTTCTTGCTTGCTTGGTGCTGGAAACTTTTACTAGCCTCACTCACCCCGACTGACTCCTCAGAGGGAGTTGAATGAGGACATTAAGCACGGTGAACGAAATGACGAATAACAAAAGTACAGTTCACTAACGAAGGGGTAAAGGATGCGCAAGATCTCAAAACTTACAACATGAATACACTGTCTTTGATAATAACTTTTTGGGTTTAAGGGTTACATGCGGTGAAAAAGATTACTGAACTTTATTTTGCTTCCTTAGTCAACTATTTGCTGTATCTACTGTTTTTGACAAACAACAATCACATCTTTACAAAAGTAACAAACTCCCCACAATGTAAAAGTCTGCAGAGGTGTCTAACCTTGTGTTCACTTTGTCCTTGTTGTTTGTACAAATGGAAATTCAGACCGTCGTCGCCGTATTTCAGCGTGTAATTTATTACCCACTGGCTCTTTAAATTACTTCCTTGCGTTGCCACCCGTGTGACAGTGACAGGATTGCTACCTAGATCAATCTGTAGCCATTGCTCAGCTTCATTAGCGAAAGCTGACCACGATCCTTTCAAGTTCAGTCTAGCCTGGCTGGCTTCATGGTTGGCATCAAGCTGTGACGAAGAACTAATCTGCCCGTCAGTGATCGCTCCTTTCTCCATACCGAGAGCCTCTTGACATTCTAAATAACAAAGCAAATTAAAAGGCAATGCCACAAATATTGAGTGCTACTTGGAAATCCAATGGATGTGTTTCTGTCAATGAAAATTCCACAAAAACCTGCCTTGCTCTTTTTAAGAGTTATGAAACAATACATTAAAATGTTGAAAACGATAATTCACTACGGGCGAATGGGAAAGAAGGGGACTAAGACCCAGTTCAAACGTCGAACCTTTCATGTACCGAACTTAATAGCTATTTGGGTCGACCCAATTGACAAAAGTCTAATGGTTGAACCATACGTCAAACTAAAAATTAGTCGGACTTAATTCATTTTCAAGATGTTAGCATAGTCTACAACGGTTACCAGTGAAAATAAATGATACTAATTTATGCATTAGGTTCTGCACACGAAAGTCAGTCGACGTAGTTCCTAAGTCGGAATTCCCATGTGCGCATGGGTCGACCCAAATTAGATATGTCAGACTTAATTAATTCAAACGTCAATCTTTTCTTGTACTTAATTGAAGGAGTTTGGTAATGAAAAGTTCGACGTTTGAACTGGGCCTGACAAAACTTAAAAATAGTAGGGCGACTTTTTCACTGTTCGCAATGTTTTAGTATAAAGCGTTTTACCCACGTGGCCAGTAGCTATGCAAATTGAAAAAAAGAACGTCTTTACATAAGAAAAAGGTTCAACTCCCACAGGAAGGGTTTGGCACACCAACATGGCGGTCGTGATGTCATGTGAAAACAATCCAATTGTCCAACAATCCAATTTCTAATCGTAGTTTCTGAGGCTGCCCCTAAAACTCTTAAAAGTGTGTGGAAGAAATGGTGGATGCCTTCTTTCCCTGGCAATTTTAGCACCTGCTGAGAAGGCCAAATCCTATTTCTAAAAATTTGATAATGAGTTAACATGTTTCACGTCGATCCTTTGGCCCGACTGCACCGAGTATTGTTACATATACTTCGATGCAGATCGGAAGCGTTTTGTTTCCCGTGATGAAAATTTTATTTGCTTGTTTATTAATAAAGTACTGGGTAACATTACCCCTAGCTCGTTTTTCTATGGACCAATATTAACCTGTGACTTCGCGCTTTAATTCTTTTACAACATCCTCACCATTATTTTTTCAACGCTGCTTGGAACATCATGAGAAAAACAAGGGTAAAAAGAAGTAAGAAACAAAATTTAGAGTTGTACGAACCATTACAGCTGACTTCGTTCACTTCCTCGCTCCAGTATCCTCTTATTCCGCACCGAGCAGATGAAGTGCCACTAATTTGTTTTCCAGTAGCGCAGGAAAATGAGCAAATTGAGCCGTATCTTTGATTGTATAAAACACAACTCTCGGGCCAAATTCGCACATCATTTGTGAAGGAGAGTTTTGGGCACGTAAATCCTTTGAAAGAGGAGATATAGAGCAAGTTTAAAAAAGTGAGGATAAACAATCACGACACTGGTAATAGATTACTTAGACCCTAATAAGTGTCATAAAGTTTATAACCGCGTTTTGCCTTTGTCTACAGCAAAAATGATAACTGTTATCTCGGACTTGATCCTCAATTTACGCTCTTTATTAATTTGAATTTCCCTTTTTTTTCTTTTTTCTTCTCATTTTTTTAAAAATTTTATTTCATTAGAATGCTCAGGACAATGGAATGAAATTTCTCCAACCAAAAAAGAAAAAAAAAATGACACTTTTCTTTTCGCTGTCTGTTCGACCATGCATTCACCGGCTTTGTAATAGCGGACGTAAGGAAATTTTAGCAACATACTTTTTCGCAGAGGAGTTATTTGTGTCCTTGATTTCAGTAACAAATTTTAATGTTGGTAGGAGAGGACCCTCGGGAATGAGGCTGTGTTTACTGCAGATCGAACATAAAACCGTCATACAATCGTGTTACAAATCAGGTAAAATATTATTCAATACTCCAGAAAACCGCTATAGGCTAATGACCGCAGACAAATAACAGCGACTTAGAGACAAAAAAGAGGCTTGTGTGTGTGTGTGTGTGTGTGTAGAAAATATAAATAGGTAGGTAGGGCCCCTTCGTTACTAGCAACTCTTGAAAATGCTCTACACAAGTGCTTGGCATTAGCTACTATCAAATATAAAATACTAGGCTAGTCCTTTAGCAGCTATTATTACTTCAATCTACACCATTGTGACTTTTCTTTTTTAATAAAACAAAATACAAAAAAAAAAATGCCAGAAAACATTTACGATACGTCTCCTTGAATATAAAACTACTTGATTTCTTGTTGTCTGAAAATAACGTGACCTACCCGACGACAGTTCACAAGAATAATGAAGAGAAGTATTACAATTCAAGACATTCCATTTCTTTGACGGAAGCATTTCTACGCAATCTTCAGTACCATTCCAGTTGTTTGGTTGGTTAGAAGTAAAGTTTAGGTAAACCACTAACGAACCATCGATCCATTGCCAGCGTGAGTTATTACTTGAGTCACGGTCCAAACCAATCCATGTTCTGTTTCCCCACACAATTTCTCGTTGTTCAGCTGGTGAATCCAACATTACGAGATTAGATCCAAGTGCTTCACATGCAAATTTTGCGGCGATCCATTCCAGGGTATTAGAGGATAGTTTATAGCAAGAAGATTGGTGTGGAGTCCAATTTTGAGGGCAACCTGTAAAAAATAAATATATAAAAACTGAGGTCAGGAGTGTAATTTCTTCAATCGAGTTTATGACTGCGCTGATTCCCTGTTATGCTTACAGATTAGGCACTAAATTCAAATTTGAGATACATCTTTGAATTTTAAAATCCAGTCAAGTTCTCTTCACTGCGCATAAAATTAGATTTACAGCAAACTTGCTTAGGGCAAACATAACACGAAAAAGTACAAACTAGGAGAAAGGGGCAAAGATGGTAAATACTGCATTTGCCCCTGAATTTGCAACCCTATCATGTAAATTAGGATGCAATTGCGGTGTTTACCATCTTTTCCCCTGATTTCCTGCTAGTTTGCACTTTTCTGCATTATATTTACCCCAAGCAAATATTTGGTGTTAAATCTAGAAAATTTTCGTACAGTGCTGATTGAACATGCAGGTCGGTCATTTCGAAATGTTTTAAAATAAGCGAGCCTTTATCTGGCAACGTTACACGTTTTTGATACATTGGCAGGATAAGATTTTTCTTGGTTTCTAATTTACAACTAAGAAATGAAGGACTTGGTTGATTAGTTTTAACTCGGAAATAACCAGTGATAAGGCGGTCCTTGTATTCTTTTTCCTTTGGAGTGCGACTTTTAGGTGATTTTCGCGCTCCCTTGAGAAAAAAAAACGTCGCAAGGTTACTCTGAATTTTGGCTCTGCATCGCTGTAGGTGGGGGTACTTAGTTTTATCGACGGAGTTCGTAAACTTGATTTCTAACCTTAGCAGCGGAGGAGGGATGTTTTACGCCGATTTTTTTTGGATTTAATTAACTTTTTGAGTGGTATAAATTAACGCAGATGACGTCATGCATCTCATTAAGATAGGATGATGCCATAGTTTAAATTAATGCCGAAGACGTCTTGCATTCCACTAAGATAGGAAGATGTCGTAGTTTATTTTTAGCTTGCAAGGAGCAATTGACGTCAGAATACCCTAGGGGTTGACGTCATCAGAAAATGTTGAAATCATAATGTATAAATAGAAAAGTGATTTCTTGATATGTTCACCAATTTGCTATAGTCTTCTGATTGGGAAATTTTGAACGTGCTATCTTTGCACATTACACTAACTGAAAAATCTTTAATCATTAAATTATTTTCTCTAAAAATCAGTTATAAACAAAACCAAGACACAGAGGTTAACTAGAAAATCTTTACTTCAAAAGAAGGAAAAAAGGAGGTTAGGCGAATGCGGAATCGTACTAAGTTTTTTCGGGCAAATCATGAAAATGAGGTCGAAGCGCAGCTAAGTGAAAAACTGCCTATAAAGCAAAAATGCCCATCTTTGTTTACTTGACTCCGTACAAAAGGAAAAAGGAGGTTAGGCGAATGCGAAATCGTACTAATTTTTCGGGCAAATCATGAAAACGAGGTCGAAGCGCAGCGAAGCGAAAAACTGCCTATCAAGCAAAAATGTCAACCTTTGTTTACTTGACTCTGTAGAAAGTATTGCACAGGGTATAAAAATTCTATAGAAAACAACAGATGGTTCTAAAAAAACCCTAACTCTTTTGGTTCTTAAATAAACTTCATTCTAGTAACTAATGAGTCACGTCTATTAAAAAAAAAATAGGAATCAGAGGTGCGATCGCCTAGCAAGACATGTTTTCTTATTTAGCGCTAAAAATCGGATATATAAACAAAACACACACACACAAAGTGGAGCTGAAAACTCTCCATTTCAATTTTGACTCACCATTACAAAAGCGTTTTCTCCGTTCTACCTCGAGGAAACGACTAACTATTGAAGTCTTAGAGCTTCATGAGCTTATGGAAATTAGTCCTCCTCCTCCTCCTCGTCGTTCTCTTCTCTAGAAGGTGAATAAAAATTGGTTTCCAACGTCTTGGCGTTTTGGTCTGTAATAGCTCCACAATCGTGACGCCGACGAAAGTCCTCTTTCATGTAATTTATTAATCATCATCTTCGCCCATGGAGTAGTTGTAAGGTCTAACTCGAAATTTCTTATGCCGAGTTCGTTTCTTCTTTTTACCATGAGCATTATGATCATCCAAATAATTTACAAATTGAATCCGATGCCTTTTGCGCTTCGGGCCTTGTGATGGGGTTTCTACTGTGGGACGAGGGGTTAGGAAAGCAGGATTTAAGGGTAGTGGTGGGGTGGAGCTTTTTTTTCAGGTTTTTGTAAGATATAGCCGCTTGTGTTAATTTGGATGTTACATTGAAGGGGTTAAGGGGAGTGGAGAATGCTTCCGTTGCTGTCGAAGAATCTTGTGTGCTTGATGTTAAGGCTGGAACAGTGCTGATTATTTTTTCCGGTCGTGTTCTTGTATTTAATTGTTCTTTAAAAGCCAGGTATCTGTTTTGCAATTGAAAGTATCTCTTAGCTTTTTCATCGTCCCGAAGATCTTTTCGAGAAAGCGATCCCCTTGTGCAATTCAATTTTGACTCACCATTACAAAAGCGTTTTCTCCGTTCTATCTCGAGGAAACGACTAACTATTGAAGTCTTAGCGCTTGATGAGCTTATGGTCTTGTCAATTCACGCGCCGTTAGTCAGTTCACGCACCGTTAGTCAGTTAATTATGCGGGTTAACAAGCCCACAGTTGCATACAAATTGGCTCCACAGTAAAAATCCCTAGGGAGAAACTTGACTTATTATTATAAAATCACAAACAATTAATAACTTAACAAGGATCAATTAAAACACGCGACAAATAAATTGACAGGACCACGAGATACAGTTTTAAAACCTTTACCAGTGACAAAAAGAGTCAAATACACAGCGATTTGAAAGGGATGGAAATTAGTCCTCTTCCTAGTTCTCTTCTTTAGAAGGTGACTAAAAATTGGTTTCCAACGTCTTGCCGTTTTGGTGTGTAATTGCTCCACAATGTGACACCGAAGAAAGCCTTCTTTGATGTAATTTCTCTCCTCGGGGATCTGGTGATCGCATATAAGAGAAATCTTGTAGTTATCGTGCAAAAGCATTTAGGACATTTCATGATCAATGTCGAGTACACATTAGAGTTTTCGCAATGTTCACAGGGACTTTTAGAGTGAAAGGTGGTGTACGTTTCAGGGCTACTACTTTCTGTTTCCTCACTATCGTTTTCAGTGCCGTTGTCGCTCCCTTGGGTGCCTTCAGCTTCAACGCCATTCTCAGAAGCCACTTCCTCCTACTCCTCCTCCCTGATTTTCAATACCCGATGAACTCTCCGCATTATTACTCTCGTTATCGGAAGTACTTTCTACATTTCGGTAGCCTTTTTCCTTTTCTATTAAATCACTTAACAACTTTTTGTTCTTGATTAAACCTTTATCGATTCCTAACTCTGCAAGTCCATCTAGAAACGCATTCAGAGCACGAGGCTTGGTAACCTCATTGTTATGAGGGAGTAACATGTGACGGGAATAGTGCGTTTATTTCGAAGTAATTGTCCGTTGGGAGTCCAGAAAAGAATATCTTTGGAAGCCGCCATACTATGCAGCAAATCAGAAGCACTCTTTTCCGACACTGCTCGGGAAGATGACTCAACACATCTTTTATTCTTGGATCTTCATCCTCGCTTTCATCACCAGAACTTTCGCTTCCTTCATGTTCACTCTCGTTTTCTTCTTCAACCAAATCTATCTTTCTCTTCATTTTGATGAGTACCCGTGACAGACTTAGTTTAAAATGAGTAACTTATAGTTTTGTTTCCTCTTCTATAGCATCAAAAATCCTTGGCTTGTAACAGCAGGTACTAATAGGTCTTGAATAACACCATCACCCTCTTGTACAAGGATTCGCTTCTTTGTTTTGTAAGGGACATTTGTTTCTGCTAGGTTTACTAGAGCATCCTTATATGGCAAGACGTTCCGCTTATTTTCTTCGGAGATAAGAATGTATTCCGTAAGTATATTGTATAGGACTTGGACTAATGCATGTAGTTGTTGTGGACTAGCTGTCCGTAAAAGAAACTGTCGCTGATGAGCTGAACAAACAGCTAAGAATTAAAGAAAACCACGATTGTTCTTGACAACTTGAGACATTGCGACAAACTGAACTTATGATAGTAGTTTGCAGTCTTTTATTGACTGTCGTGGACGAAAAAAATAGTAAATGTTGTGTTGGTAGTGGTGGTGGTGGAGAAAAACAATGGAATCGTGGTGGTGGTAGTGGTGGTGGTGGAGAAAAACAATGGAAATGTGGTGGCGGAAGAAAACAATGAAAATGTGGTTGTGTCGGTGCTGGCCGTGGTGGTGGTGGTGGTGGAGGGAAAACAATAGAAATGTGGTGGCAGCGGTGGTGGTGGTGGTGGTGGTGGTGGAGGGAAGACAATAGAAATGTGGTGGTGGCGGTGGAGGAAAACAATAGAATTGCGGCCGCGGTGGTGGTGGAGGAACACAATAGAAATCTAGTAGTGGTGGTGGAGGAAAACTATAGAATTTTATAGCCTTCAAAACTATATCAATGCCCAACATGCAACCATTTTCTCAGTCTACATTCTGCTCCCGAGGAGTTAACATGAGTTGGTCCTGTTCCGTTTGCGAAAAATCATTTAGTAGAAAGGATAGCATGCAAAGGTACGTGATGTCTAAATACCGCAATGTTGGTCGCACCCCATTTCAAACAGTTCCGTTTTCACAGAAATGTCAGCGGTTTCGATTCGAGCATCCTTTTACCTCCATGATTGCCTGAATGACTGGGTCCGGAAAACGGCCTGGGTTCTATCTCTATTGCAACAAGCTTCAGAGACAATTTACCCTTCCCCGGAGAGGATTGTTTGGTGTTATTCGCAATGGCAGCCTGCGTATACAGAAATGCTAGTCGCCATGCCACACATTGAATTCGTCAAGGGAATTCCCACGGCTTTGGAGCAGGATTCCTATTTTGATGTGAACAAACGGAATT